GGTTTAGGGGTTTAGGGTTGGGGCTGTTTAGGGTCCAAGGCCAGATTACGTTTTAGGGCCCAGCTTAGGGCTCAGGGCTCAGGATTCAGGGCTTCGGATACCGGGCTATGGATTCAAGGCTTCGGGTTTCAGGGCTCAGGGTTTCAGGGCGTAAGGCTTTTTGGGTTTCAGGGCTTAGGACCGATGTAGGGTTTATATAGGGCTGAGGGTTTAAGATTTAGNNTTTAGGTCTTAGGGTTTAAGGCTTATGGTTCAGGGCCGACCTACAGCTCTAGGTAGATTCTAGGGTTTAGGGCTTAGAGTTTCGGGCTTGGGGCTTTGCGCTTCGGGTCTACGGCGTACGTAAGGCTTAGGGCTAGGCTCTCATGTGTGTTCCCTTATTGTGCAACTATGACTTCTGTAAGGAAGGATTACACTGCTATCTTGAATCCTTCCTTAACAAAATCTTAAAGCCTACCTAGGTAGCAGTTTAACGGGCTTAGCCAAGCACGCATCCCTAGACCCTAAACCCCAATCCCTAAACCCTAAACCCCATCTAACAAAGGAACACGTGTCCTGTGAAATGCTCTTTTAGGCTTGGATGCAGGCATCTCAACGCTCCACATGCACACATGTGGTAGTTCACTGCAGTAGTCATAGGGGTTCAGGGCTTATGCTTCGGGGCTTAGGGTTTAGGATTTTGGGTTTAGGGCCAAGAACAGAGTCTTGTCATTTCATGTCATCTCCAAATTGAGAGATTGGGGCCAGCATGGTTTTCTTTTTGGGTAAGGGTTTAGGGCTTCAACCCTAAACCCTAAATCCTAAACCCTAAATCCTAAACCCGAAACCCTAAACCCTAAATCCTAAACAGGGTCTGGGATGCTTTTGCAGAAGCATGGGACGAACAGCTTCCTGTCGTCGGCCAATCAGATAAACAGCTCCCCATGCGCAGGCTGAAGCCTAAACCCTATTTAAAACCCTGAATCCGGGGATTATCAAAACTATGTTCAAGCCTCTAAGCAGATAAACCCTAAACCGGGGTTATGTTGGGATAATATTGGGATAATGGAAAAGAAAATGGAATTCACTATTCAGGGTTTGGGGTTTAGGGCGTAGACCCATGATGAACAAACTCTCTCCTTTTAAGGGTCTTAACATTACGATCCCGATGATAATGCCCATTAAGGGGGGGTTATTGATCAGGGGTCTGGGCTATCCAGAAAACCGAAGGCCCGAAATTCCTAAGCTCCAAAGCCCTAAACCCTACCCCAATACAGGCCCCCAAATGCTATAGTCCTTAAAAAGGTAGGCCCCAGCCTGGACCCCAAGCCTTGCGCGCTGAGCTTTTCTACTGCAAAAAGACTTGTATCCCAATGTATACAATACTGCTGCTGCATAGGGTTTCGGGTGTAGGGCTTAGGGATCCTAATGCTAAGCCCGCAGGCCCTAAATCTCTCAAGCCCAACGCCCCCCTCGCCCGTGATCCCTCAACTACTCAACCCGAGCGCCCAAGGCCCCCTAAGCCTCCCACACAACCCCTGCACTCTTACCCCTGAACCCTCTTAACCCCCAAACCCCAATCCCCAAAGCCCAAAACGCCTAAACTCCCCATCAACCCCTAAACCATTTATATGAACCGAGTGTATCGCCTGACCCCTAAACCCCTCCTCCTAAACCCTAAACACTAAATCCTAAACCCTAAACCCTAAATCCTAAACCCTGAACCCTAAACCCTAGACCCTAAATCCCCCTCTCCCCCCTGCACCGCAAGAAGTGCTCGGCGTCCGGTTGCCGGAGGCTCCGCAGGTGCCATGAAGGCGGCCTGCCGCGTCCAGCTTGAGGAGTTCCACGGATTTAGGGGTTTTGGGGGCTTAGGGGCTTAGGGGTTTAGGCCTTAGGGTTCAGGGGTTTAGGATTTTAGGGGTTAGGCTTTAGGGTTTAGGGGTGTAGGGGTTTAGGGTTGAAGCGGTTAGGGTTTAAGGGCTTATGGTTTAGGGGTTGGGGTTGAAGGGCTTAGTGGTTCAGGGGGGTTTACGACTACGGATTTTGGGCTCAGGGCTTTATCAGGGCTGTTAAGGGGTCGGGGCTCATTGATAGAATAGCGCTTGCGGGTACAGGATTTTTTGGGTTTAGAGCTTAGGGTCTAGAGAAAACAGCCCAGCACATCCGATGGCTGCAGCGATACAGGGTGGCAGCAGCAAAGTCAAGTCAGGGGCCCGAGAAACACTCTGTGCATTGCGACCCTGAAGCCGACAGCGGCAGTTCGGGAGTGAAGCAAGAGGAAAAATGCGAACTAAATGACTTTAGGGTGTAGGAACTTAAGGACTCCGAAATGAACATGGGAACTACGACTTGGGGCTCAGGGTTTACGGTATTGAGAATGAAAATATGAAAAATTATGGGATCGGCCATGCTATTAGGGGTTATATGGGGCTACTATGTCGTAGATCGATCCCTGTATTCCCTACTAATCCTTTCATACCAGTCATACACAACCCCGCCCCCAATACTAAGCATGTCCCCATAGGAGACCAACCGAGTGACATTTTGCATGTTAGGGTGCATAGCAGGCCGGGGGGGGAGGGGGGGGGCATTTTTGCGTACGAAAGAACTCTAATCAGCGTAAGGTCCCAAAACAGAAGCCCGGGAATCGGATTCTTTTCGTCACGGCACCCTGAAAAAACTTGCAACAGTCAACATCTTCAGGATTCGTGTTCTCGACTAATTAAGCCTGGATCCTAAGGGAGCCCAACTGGAAGTCTTAAACCTGACCTGTACGTGCAACTGCCCCAGCCCCATTGGTTTCTTCAGTTTCATGGGTTCTGCATACTGACTCGGAATTGTTAATGCGAAGTTAAACATCATGGGGCACTTTCTAGTAAACTGTGGGCAGTTGGGGTGACAGGTTGGGTTTAGGGGCCATGATGTATCCCTGGCAAATCATCAAATCTAACCCTAAACCCTAAACCCTAAGCCTGAAGCTAGACTCTCCCCCAGACTAAGCTATGCGAGCCCAAATGGTGTGTACAGTTTACCTAAACCCCACAAGATGTAAAATAATTGCCCTAAACCCATAGAACAGGCGCAAAGGCCATTAGTTTACATACTTTGGGTGTCCAGGTAGCATTCAGGGTTCAGGGTTTATGGTTTGTCCTTATAAACGGGGTCGATGTTGGTTTGGTGGAGAGTAGCCCAAAGGCAAGTGGATTGTCTCACCGAGCAGTCCTTAAGCGCCCAATGCGCAAGGTTGATGAAAGGCCAGTTCTAAGGCTGTTTGGTAGCTTTATGCCGCCATGTCAGCATTCACCAGGACGAAACCCCGACCCCCCCAACCCAAAACTTTGAACCAAAAATTAGACCCTAAACCATACACTCTAAACTACGCTACCCCCACCCCCAAAACACTCATCATCCCGACGTTCTACACCCTATACCTTACACCCTAAACCCTAAACCCTAAATCCCTAAACCCTAAAACCGAATCATCGCCTGCCACCATATGCAGGCGCAGGCGGCCAGCAGTAGGAAGGCTCGAGATGATCGCTGCATCCCTGGCTTTAGGGTTTAGGGTTTTAGGGTTTACCTAAAGCCCAAAAGTATGTAGAATAATGGCCTTTTGGGCTGTATTACCTACTTTTGGGGTTCAGGTAGGGTTTTGTAGGGTTTTAGGGTTTGGGGTTTTGTAGGGTTTGGGGTTTGGGGTTTGGGGTTTAGGGTTTGGGGTGTAGGATTTAGGGTTTTAGGGTTTTAGGGTTTAGGGTTTTGTAGGGTTTTGGGTTTGGATTTTAGGGTTTTAGGGTTTAGGGTTTTGTAGGGTTTGGGGTTTAGGGTTTGGGGTTTAGGGTTTAGGGTTTTAGGGTTTCTGGTTTATAGGGTTTAGGGTTTTGTAGGGTTTGGGGTTTAGGGTTTGGGATTTAGGGTTAGGAGTGCGCGTATTCTATGATGACTGGCGACATTTCTTGTTTTTCTTGACATCTTTTCCCGGGCTGTGTGGGCTTTATATTAATGGTTCTTATGGAAGTGATCTCAGACAGGTTTTCCATGGATTTCAATCGGATTTTGACTTGATTGTCATTAGATTTATGTTTATTTGGATGTTGAGTAGATTTGAACTGATGTGCTGTTCCAATTGGTGTTCATTAGATTTCAAGATTCCGAATGGTCTTCATGGGGCTTCCAAATAGATTAGAACTTCGGGTAGTTTGTAATTGTTCAAGTGATGTTAGATGGAATGTAAAGTGACTATGATTAGATGTCACTTGCCAGATTCTGACTAGAGTCTGAATTAGTTTTAATTAGAATCAGATAATTAGATACCGATCCGGTTAACCTGTTGTCAATTGATTTTATTTGGGACTTTCATGGCTTTTAATGAACATCTTAATAATTAGATTTCTCATTGAGTTCATCCGGAATTATAAGGGCTTCAAAAGGATTAAAAGGGGAGCCTTATCAAATTCTTTCAATCAATGCCCCCGTCCCCAACACTGGCATTTGCGGGCCCAGATTATTCAATCTTACTAGGGGTGACGTCCTGTAATAACAGGGGGAAGGGATTGTCTCGCTCTCGCTCTTGATGGAAAAGCCTTGCATGACCCCATACCGCTACCCAGACTCCCGAAAGGATCTAAAAACAAGATCCCCCAGAACCATAGGGGGACGTATATGAGGATTATATAGGGGTTGTAATGGGTCTATATAGGGATCTACTTTTTAGATCCTCCCACGGGGGGTAGGCAGCTTTGTCGGTTTAGGGTTGAGGATTCAGTGAGAGCTCTTTGCCACCTAAGGTTTGTAATAACGAATGTGGGATTTGCTAATTGTTGTCTTAGTTTCAGGATTATGAAGAGATCTCTGATTTGGGTTGTTTGGCCATCCGCTATGATGCAGAATTGATGAACTGAGGGGTGTGAGGACTTGCGATGAGGATTGTCATGGGTTCAGGAAATTGATGGCAGGCGCAGCGCTTGAGAGTGTAGAGCCGCGTTTTGCTGCTTGCGCGAAATTGAGGGTAGTTCTGTCGCATAAAGGGTTCTATGTTCGATCCACAACATTCTGCATGACTTGTAGACCAAACTTTACCCAGACCCACCCCCCTGCAAATCTGCGACCCGCACGCCGCTGGTCAGCAAGGAATGAAGCATTGAAACCTCATAGTAGTCCCTGCATAATCCGCAAGAATCTGGTTTGCTGTTAAGGAGGTTTGCTGTTAAGGAGGTTAAACTAAGTTACTATAACAAAGACAACCCCATGATTTACGATAAATACACACTATATTGTAGTAGCTTATTTTGAATCCCTTAAGAGCAATCCGGTAATGCGACACTAGTTTCCATTTTCATTCCTTTGATTCCTGGTAACCAAGATGTATGAAGAGACAGGACCTTCAGGATCTTTACAGTTGCATAGTAGGGTTTAAGACTTCAGGCTTAGGGTTTAGGGTAGTCAACCACAGTACCTGAACCCTAAAGCCCCAACCCTCATCTTTGACTGCAAGCCTGAGTCCTAAAACCCCTAGCTCAGAATTCTAGGCCTTAGAGTTTAGGGTTGGGTTTAGGCCTTAAACCCTACGCCCCAAGCCTGACCCCCCGTTTAGCAAAATCCCAAACCTTAACTAGGGTAGATTTGCAGGCCATACAAAAATCGTTGTTTGCGGCTTATGGGCAATACATAGGAGTTATGGGAAAGAAAGCTAAGCATCGATTCCAAACCTTCCCCCATCTAAACCCTAAACCCTAAACCCTAAATCCTGAACCCTAAGCCCTAAGCCCTAAACCCTAAACCCTACACCCTAAACCCTTTCCCTGCCTGGCTCACAAGGGCGAAAAAGCGCAGCGGCTGTTGAGGCCCGTGGCAACTCGCGACGGTGAAGACTTGAGCCGCCGAACAGGGTTTACGTACTGGTGGTTAGGGTTTAGGGTTTAGGGTTTAGGGTTCAGGGTTAATAGGGAATATACCCCGTTTACGTACTGGTGGTTAGGGTTTAGGGTTTAGGGTTTAGGGTTCAGGTTTAGGGTTTAGGGCTCAGGGTTAATAGGGAATAAGGGAATACATTCCCTATATAATCCCTATTCAAATTTATTTCCCTTTATCCCCTGCTACCCCTAGTAAGCTTAGGGTTTTGTGTTTAGGGAGATCCCCAGGTCAAAAGTATAGGCCCCCATCATTTGCTCCGAATATGGAAGCTCTTGCATACCTTGTATATACCCTAGAAGTGAACTACAGTCAGTATTTCCTACATCGTTTAATGGACATGGGTTCCTTATGAGAGACTATACTAAGGGACTATACTAATCTACAAGAGGGACCCCTATGTCCACGTCTAGGGGTCCTTAAATGAGCCTAATAGTGCCAGTAGCTCATATAGCATCCAGGGTCGCAAGGTTGCAAGTTGCCCCTTACCCACAAATGGCTCGGTGCTATCATACTTTACTTACTGGGGGCTAGTAGGGAACAGGGAATACATGATAGAGGGATAATATAAAGACTATTTCTATCACCCATATCATAATTCTAGGGGCCGGAAGAATTACCAACATCAATTTGAAGTGCATTTGAGGTACCCTCTACTAGAATTACACAAAAATTATGAACCAAAATATTGGGAGTTATTTAGCTTCTACAGAACGCTTCTGTTAGCTGTCAACATTCTGGTAACGAACTGTCGCAAAGTTTTGTGCATATGATAGTTTTTCCTAAATCTGGGAATCCTAATATAGGCCCTAATCTGCTATCATCCTTAATAGGGGGACCCCCTAAAATCGTACCCCCAATTCTAGGAATCTCCCACATCTTCAGCTTTCCCCAGTTGCGTGGCTGGTTTTCTTCCTCTAAACCGTAAACCCTGTACCCTAAACCCTAAACCCTCAGCCCTAAAACCTAAACCCTATGCCCTAAGCCCTAAGCCCTCAACCCTTAAGCGCATCTTGTATATGTCGCGCAGAAGGACCATGCCCCCCCCCCTCAAAAAAAAGGGGCCGCTTTTAAGGTACCCCAATTTCCATCTTCTCAGGGTCATATGAAGGGTTTGGGGTTTAGGTTTAGGGTTTAGGCTCCCAACATGTAAGGGTTTCCCAAAATTAGGGGTACCCTGTTGGGAGTCCCAAGAATACGGATTATGACATTTTGGGGTCTCTATTGGGGTCCCCCTCATTTGGGAAACTACTATAAAGAGAGGTGTAGAGGTACAGGCTTGTAGCGCTGAGGGATGAAAGGTCTTAGGATTGTGTAGGGATGAGGGCTTGGAAAAGACTGTTTGGGGTTATTGGGTGTCGAGGTGGAATTTTTGGGGTTCAGGTTTAGGCTTTAGGGGTTGTGTTTTGGATGTAGTGAACTCATGAGGCTTTACAAGGAATATCGGAGACACTGCAGTCTCAATCTTCTGCTCTTCTTGAGGGGTTGCCACAATGTGGTCTGGTAGCCTCTGCCCCTATATTGATTTGACATGTTTCCTAACAATGACTGCATAGTCTCCTTACTCCTCACATATTGTAAGCGTACCCAAGGGCTTTGGGCGGGAAATCCGCATTCTTGCGCCTCCTTAGGTTCCTAAAGCAGTGTAATTCCTAGGACTTCCCTGAACCTTAAACCCTAAACCCTCAACCCTAACCCTTGGGGAACTTAGAGTGGTGCAAGAACTCCTTCTGCCTTTAAGATTCTCAACTCTGTGTTCCAGTTTCCCGAACTGACATGGGGGTTTCTAAAATGCGGGCTCCATGATAATGGGAATATATTATGGTAGGGCTTCTATTGGCGTCACCCTATTTTCTAAAACTACCACATCGGAAGTTGAGAAGAGGATTTTAATGTTGACTGTTGAGTACTATCCACTTCCCAGAGGCACCCCTAAAACCTAAACCCTAAACTGAGCTGTGACTGGTGTAGCAGTCTAACATTTCGAGAAGGTTTATGGCTTGCAGCTTTGAGCACACTGGAGCGGCCTGAATCGTTTGAGGTCCATTTGAGGTATCCTCTAGCTCAGTGTTACAAAGAATCTCGAACCATACTTGTTGATAATTACCTGTTTACCACACGTTTAAACCCAGTTTCCATTTGACTCCTGATTCTCGATAATTATTTAGGCGCCAATAGTACTCTGCTATGACGAAGCTTAAGCCGGTCTTAGGGAAAGGACCCAAAGGGGGATCTGCACAATGCTAGACCCTGACCCCTGAACCTATTACCCCTTGACCGTAAACCCTAAACCCCAACCCTAAACCCTAAACCCTAAACCCTGAACCCGAAAGCCCTCCCTTGTCATGAAATGCAGGTGACATTTTAGACCATCGCTCATTGCTCCAGAGCTCGTCACAAAGTCGTGTGCGGGTCCCGCAGACAAGGAACCCCTGAACAACAGCTCTGTCCAACAGGCTTCACAAAGGCTTGAGCAGAAGCCTGATCCCCAAAGCAGTTCTTTCTCAACTCCCAACCCTCAGTGGTATCCTTGTTTGGGGAGAACAAGCCCTAAGAGCCTTTGGAGGCAAGTTTAGCCTCAAGAGAAGCTCCAGCCGGGGTTCTGTTTCAAAATCATGTCTCCCCTAATTTAGGGTTA